GAGAGTCAGCATCAGAGAAGCAGGCCTGATGTGTTCCTGCTGCCTACCCCTTGTGAGTGTGTTTGCTTGCTTCAGGTCACCTGCACCCCCTCACTCTGCCTCTCTACTCCATGCTAAGGCCCAGTTACCTCCATACACCTCAAAATGGGGCTGGGCTCTTCCTGATTTCTTCCTGATTTCTCCATTCTGAATAATGTCTAGCTTTGTCTGTCTTTGACATCACATGTATGTGTATGCACGCATGACCATGCACACCCACACATCCTCACTCCTCAGGGACCGCTCAAGCTGTCCCCTCTCCCCATGATCCAGATGCCTTTTTCTTTCTGTGTTTATCTCCTGTTGGCACCTGACAGTCCTCGGCCAAGCCTTGTTTAACTATTCGAGGCTAATCTCTGATGCCTTTTGGGAAATTAAGAGTTGGGTACAGGACTCTTTCCTTACAGAAATAGGAGTTGGGGCTAGGAAGGCCTATTCTGTCCCTGGTGGGGAAGCGGGCAAGTCACTACTGCCAAACTGGAAGGAACTAGAGTAATGTCATAGTGTTGCCAAGCCAGTGGTGGAGCTCCCTTACAGATGTCTTACACTCTTCAACCTTCCATTCAATTTCAGCCATCCTAAAGAAGTTACAGGCAGGAAGTTCTATATCGTCTTTCATTATTTCCCTAAACCTCATGAATTAGAACATTCTAGAGACATGGTGAGACTGGGGTAGCCACAGGTCAAGACAAGGACAGCCGTGATTTTCTGTCTTGGGGACCCCAGCAGAGGTAGCAGGTGAGGGCCCGGCAGATGATCAGAGATGAATGGGCACAGGTTTCAAGACAGATGGTCAAAACAATAAATAACCAAGCAGACTCCTGAGCATGCAAGAAACAAAGGAAAATTCCCAGGTGTCAGAGATGAACATACAAATGAACTTCAGAGGCTGCTAAGCAGGCAGGTTGCTGCTGGGCAGCTTGGGGATTGTGGGAGCAGAGCCAAAGGAGTCCCTAACAGAGGCAAAAGCCAGAGACAGACAGGCAGATGGCAGGTGTTGCCTGGGAACGCCTACATCAGATGGTGGTTGAAGTCATTTCCCCAGCCAGAAGATCTAAGGGCTCAGCAACAAAGGTGAAGTCAGAATCTCATTTTGATCCACAGCTGTGGACTGTATGGCCCAAGACCCACTCCCAAGCAACCCTGCCACTGTGCTATCCAAGGTAAACTCCCAAGCCAAAGGACAAGAATATCTATCACCAAGCAGGCTCAATGGGGATGGTCCAAGCTGGTCACACAGCCCTATGCTTCTTACAAGCTTTGGGTGTCCTTCCCACATGCACAGGGTCCTTACACCATAAGCCAGAGTTCACAGAATCCTGACAGGCTGTGCAGTGAGCTCCCTCTCCAACCTCAAGGTGCACATGCCAGGGCTGAGAGGCAGAGCACAGGGAGACGCAGTGTTCTGCAGAAGACAGAGCAAGAATCACCCTGTGACAAGAGGCAACGCCAGACAGGATGGAAGTCAGCCACTTTGCAACTGGACTGGTAAAAGAGAAGCAGTGCAGCTTTGGTGGGGGCAGGGGAGCCTATCCACTGTTTGCCATTCTGTAAATAAAACCTAACAGATCTTTGTCTACAAACTTAGCTAAGCCTTTCCGAATGTTTCTACTCTTCAATTCCTAAACTAATTTCAATTGACACAATTTATTCATATCAACCAAAATAAACCCCCCCAAAATCCATGTAGCACTGCATACAACACATTTTTAGCCATCCGAAACATACTTTATTGAATAAATATGCCTTGTATCTCTTTATCTATAAAAATAGCTTTATTATTGTAAAACAAAATACAACTTCATATCATCAAAACGCTTCGAACATTCGTTTTGCTAAGTGTGACAACTTCTCCTTTGCTTCGAGACAAAAGTAGATTTCCACAAGGGTCAATCCATCCAACTCTGAGATCCAACACATTGCTCAGACACCAAGGGGGAAAAGGACTTTGCAACCCCCAAGTTACGACTTTATAAAAGGAATTCCAGCTGGGGTGACTCCCCCCCCCCGCCCATTTAGAAATTCTGCTGAGTCCTTCTGTTTTTCAAAGTCAAGCAGGATGAATAAATCATTAACAGCAGCCCCTCCAGGACTTTTATAAATAGCAAAGCTATGCTTTCACAGCTGCAAGAAGATGATATGTGTATTTCCCTGAGCATGGAGTTTGCTTGGAGTTCAAGGGCACTGTGTCTGTGTGTGAGCTTCCGGAGTCAGTGCAACCTGGGTGAGAACATTTATGTGTTGATGCCACGGTGTTGCTTAGCTCCTGGTCTGTTTCAGACCAGCCTAGGCAGCTGGAGCCCATTAGCCTCACCACAACCTCCATTCCACTAAAAGATATTGGGTCCTGTATGAGGGGAGACCTGGCCTGGCAGCTCAGAGGCAATCACAACTTGTTGCAAGTGCTGCTCCTGCTCTGGTTTGCAATTCGGTTCTCGGAATTGGATTCCCATCTTGTTGTCTTGCGAGCACAGCCTGGCCCTGGGTCTCCCTGATCCTTCCTGCTTACAAACTCCAGAGCCCCTGATGTCATTTTCCAGAACTCCTCTTTGGACCTGACCTCCTTTGTCTAGCCCAGCCTCTGCCTCCCAGCTGGGGATGCCACTCACAGGTCCTGCTGGAGCGCAGCCTGCTATGCCAGAACATTCCCTTGTCCTGCCTTGGTCCTAAGGGCCCTTATCTCTGCCCTTATCTTATGCCTCCGTGCTGGCTGTGTGGGTTACAACAGCTAATGCATTTGTGGACTTCAGTTCTTTTTTTCTTATCCTGGCACAGAAATTAGACTTTCAAACACCTGCTCCCCCCCACACACACCCCCTGCCACACACACCTGGCTATCACCTAGAAACCTAACTCCTGATGATAATTCTTACAAAACTTCCCCAAAGTGATTAAACTTGTTTTCTTTGCCTAGAAGCTACACTCTGGCAGGTTTGTGGGCAAAACTCTCAATCTCCTTCACAGGCCTTCATAACGCCTTCCTCCTGCCACTGGCAGGACTCTCTATTTCCTAAATGCAGGGTAGCTGAGATTTTATAATTCAACTGCTTATCTAATACTACAAAATCCTAAAACGTCCTTCTCTGGCCTTCATTTGGGTATGAGATGTGAGTTCTGCATCTAGGCTGAGAAGTCAAGACTAATCTTCACCTGCTGCAGAGGCTCTCAGTACTGCAACTGGAGTGTGGTCTTGGGGGCGATGCTCTCTAGGTGGCCTGATGATACACGGGAGTTCCCCTCTGCAAGTTCTTCTCTCCAACATTCTTTGGAAGGAGCTGGAGTGTTCCTATGGCTGGCAATGATCTCTAAGCGACAAGCAGGTCAGCCTGTCGTGAGCAGGCTGCTTCCCACAGGGACACCTTGAAAGGCGAAAACAACCAGGAAATAACCTGGCAGCTCCAAAGGCGTCTCCTTTCTAGCTAACCTGGAGAAAAGGGGAATTAGAATATGGAGCCATGGCCTACTTACCCACTTTTTGAGTGTCTCTAGGGTGGGGATTTGTCCTTCATTGGTCTTGTCTAGGCCTGATATACATGAATGGTTGCCTAACTGAACCAGAATACACTGCTTCCATTGACAGATTCACAACTGTTACTAGTGCTTACAAGTAGGTGATCATGTGTTCTGAATTTCCACAAGTATGTTTTCATTGTCCCATCTTACTTTTCCTAGCAGGGAGCAGACTGTCACCCTTGACTCTAAGGCACAAAGCCTTCACACATGAGCATGCATTTACTTTATCGTCAATGAACTTGACATAAACAAGAAAATTCACTCATAATTTTCCATTTGTTATTATCTGATTTGATCATTAGCATATTCCAACCATCACTTTTGCATGAGACTTTAATTCATTATCTGTCCACTCCAAGACCTCTAACTTCCCAAACTGCTGAGAAGTACGAGCTCGGTATGCCACACCTGACATGAACTAAAACTTTATAAAGAGAATTTAAATCACGCGACGAAAATGCAGCTCATTGGGTGATGCAGTTGCTATGTTGTTAGCCCCGTCACTGTTTAATTGCAGCGTGTGAAACAGGATCTCTTAAATGGCTTCTCCAACTAAGGGATTAGAATGCGTTCCCAGTGAGCTCATTTGAAAGCCCTTTTGTTAGAGTGAATGACAGAGTCTGAGTCAAAATTGAGCTGATGATGCAAAAAAATAAATGGGAAGGCTTTATAAAGACCCTAAAAGCTCAGGTGGTAAGATTGTGGGGGTCTCAGTACCAAGTACCCAAATCATTGTCTACAAAGTAGAAATCAAGCAGTCAGGAAAAGTCTGTGACCTCTGTATTGGCCAACAGTATTAACACACTGTCTACAAACACAGTAAGTGGAGCCTCTGGGAATCTCGTTTTTACATGGCACTATGACTCTTGGACAGGAAGAGGCAAGACTGTGTTAAAGCTACAATTCTGTCTGGAAGTTCCAGTGCCCGGTGAGCCATTCTGTGATGATAAAAAAAAGAAAAGAAGAGGCTTTCAAAGTGGACATTTGGCTTAATGGTTGGTCAGGATGCACAAAGTCCCACACTGGGTACGATATTTGGCTCTGGTTCTGGACTCCAGTTTCCTGCCAATGCAGACACTGGGAGGCAGCAGGAAGGGCTCAAATAAAATCAAGAATGAGCTGCTGACTCCTGGTGGCAGCTCAGCCTGGCCTAGTCTGGCCTCTGGGTATTTGGGGCTGAATCAGCAGATAGGACCATTCTCTCTCCCTCTCTCTCTCTCTCTGCCTTTCAAATACACACATATTTTTTTAAGTACAAGTTTTCCATGGGGAGAGAACAGACTGTAAGTCCGGCATCTGTTTCAAAGTGAATTAGCCCTCCCAAACCTCTTTCCAAACCTGTCAGGTGGAAGAACCTATCAGAACATGCCCTTGCCCAGGAGCACAAAAGGCTCTAATGCAAAAGATTTTGTGGCTTTTAAATAGCAAAGGGAAACCCCTTCATTTCCTTGGCTTGCTGAGTGAATCTTCTAGCAAGATTTGTCAAAACAAGACGTGAGCCAGGTTTTGCTTCCTGTTGCTTTCCCAAATGCAGAGATGGCTATACTGGTGGCAGGGTGGGCACGACCCTTGGAAAGGAAAGACGCCCAGCTTAGTTACTTGCTGTCCTATGGGGGCAAGTCTCCGCCTTTGAGACTTAGATTCTGCACCTGTAAACAGGAGAGATGGTATCCAGCTCTAGGTCATCATGATGGTTAAATGAGCTGATGGGCAAGGACACACAGTCAGTGTGTCTTGGATGTTTAATATCACTCTTCCCGTCTTCCCTCCTGAGGTAGGTCAGGCAAACACCCCAGGCTGGTCTCAGTGTCCCAGGCCCGTGACTTCTGAGATGCCCCTATAAGAAGCCCCAGAAGGCCCCCAAGAGATGACCTCAAATACCAGCCATACAGGACTACACATGGTGGAGAGGCAGAGACCAAGTGCTGAGTGTCTCCAGGCTCCCCTCCCACAGTCACACAGACACTGCTCCAGGCACGATCCTCCGCACATGGGTGTATGACTTCCGGATGGTGACACTGCCGTGATGTGACACTCCACGAGGCAGGACGCACTCCTCTGTCAGTTTTTGGGCTTCTGGGTCCCAGCACAGCACAGTGGCAATGACCTCGTTCTTCTCATCCCGCCCTCCAGTGATGTAAAGTCGGTTATTGCAGGGCGCGATGCCACAGCTGGCCCGCTCGTGGCTCAGCTGGGTCACCAGGCACCAGCTGTCTTCCAGCGGGCTGTAGGCATACAGTGCTTTCATGGCCCCTCCTGAAGAGCAAGAGGAAGCACATCATTGTTTCTGCTTTCTCTCCCGTTAACCCACAGCATCTTACTTCTGGCTCGGGCAAGTCCATCACTTTGCCAAGACAAACAGTAGGCTAGCAGCTCTCCAATATGCCAGAGTGGACCTCAAAGGACAGTAAGTGCAGAAACACTTCACAACAGCCTTGAGGTTCTGCAGCCAGCTGTATTCATCTGATGAATACAGCTGCCCAATGCACCCCCAGACAGCTCCTTGGGAAGAATTTCCACCTGGACTCAACCCGTATACCCAGCTCTGCCACTTTTTGATCTGTGCCTGTAAGCACCAAGACCATGGTGGAGAAGAAAAGCTAGAAGACACGTGCACATCCAGCACCTGGCAGAGGTGGCATGTAGAAGCCATTAGCCCAGGGAAATGGCTGGGCAGTGGCATTTTTTCACAGCCTATGCTTGATCTGAGACACCAGCCCATGCAGAGCTTAGATTTCTGAAGGCATCCTGAGGCTGACCATAAGCAAAATTCCCAAACATCCAAAGCAGGGATCCAAGTATCTTTTCCTTAATTGTTTCCAATGGTTTGCCTCTAGGAAGCCTTCTCTGCCAAGCTGTCAATCGCTGAAGTTAACTTGTTTTCTGGCATCTCCTTAACTGGTGTTTCTCGATCCTGGATGTACCTGGAAATTACCTGGAACTTCTTGAGAACACAGATACTCCATTGCTCAGCATCCTGACCTCCTAGGTCTGAGGTAAGGCTCAGCTCCCCATAGTTCTGCCAAAAGTTCCCTACGTGATTCTAATGTGTAGGCAGGATGGACAGCCACATCCCTAACAATTACTGGCCAACTGGGGTCTGGATGGCCACACTTTCCTGCCAACTAACTGCCACTCCAGGGTGAGTAAGGGAAGCAGAAGTCCCATGAACACAGAGTGAGAGGTAATACTGACTGCCATCTTGATGGTACTTACACACTTTAAAGTGTATATTCTAATCTGCCAATGCCTGCAACATAAAGCCACTCCAATGGCAACTTTTGGCTCCTCCCCTGTCAATCTACTTTGCATAAGTTTACATAAAGATATTTGTGAGGAAATGAATTAAAATATAAGCTTATTTTCATGCAAAAATTGAAATTAATGGAGAGTTTTATCATAGTACACACTTTTCATGGACTTTCAAAGTGTTCTCACATGCATAGATTTTTCAGTTTTTTGCACAGACATTAAATTACCTTTTTTTTTTATTAATTACATTGCATTATGTGACTAAATTACCTTTAAATTTCACTTTCCTATGAACTTTTTGAAGACTGCTACTAAAAATGAGCTAATTCTGCCTCCGAGACTCAAAGTTCCACCAAGGCCTGAACCAAACCCACATGTTCGTCCCATGTCACCCAGGAGACCAAGGTGTTTCCAGGAGGGCCCTAGCTGCTCCACCTGCATGGCTGCATAAGTACCTCAGAAGCCATTCAATACACAGGAAGCCATTTCTCACTTACCAACAACATAGATGCGGTCCCTGAAACTCACAGCATTGATGCATTTAGCCTCCACAGGCATGGCTGTCTTTAAAGTCCACTTATTGGTTGAAGGGTCATAACACTGAGTCTTGTCCGTGGCCAGTTTCCCATTGGGCCCTCCCCCAATCACATAGAGCTTCTTCTTATGGCTGGTAGCTGCGAAAGAACTGACATGGACAAGGAGGGGTGCAGCCTGCAGAGACACAAGGGAAATAATAGGTTTGACATGAGGGATATCATGGTGAGCTGGGCTCCACTTTAGGTGAGATTACCACCCACAACCCCGATCTGTGAGCCTATAGCCTAGTTGAGAAAACCACATCCTGCTTGACAAGAATGCTTGAATCCCTGGCTAGGCTATTCAAGCATAACTAGGAGAAATGGTACAGCAACAAAGGCTTGCAAACTTAGTGATCAGTAACTTTTCAACCTTAAGATAGTTCTACATTAGCTCAATCCCCCTGGGCCCCTCTCGGTTTGTGGTTTTTGCTTTTATAAACCCCACTGCTGGCCCCAAAGAGGTGGCTCAATGGCTAAGCTCTCACCTTACCAGGTGGGATCCCATAGACACACTGTTTCAAGTCCTGGCTGCTTTGCTTTCCACCCAGCACCCTGTTTTTGGCCTGGGAAAGCAATAAAAGATGGCCAAAAGTCTTGGGACACACCCTGCATCTTCATGGGAGACCCAGAAGAAGCTTCTGGTTCCTAGCTTCAAATCAGTCAGCTCTGGCTGTTGTGACCATTTGGAGAGTGAACCAGAGGATGGAAGATATTTCTTTCTGTCTCTCCTCTCCATAAATCTGCTTTTCCAATAAAAGCAAATAAATATTATTTAAAAAAAAAAAAACAGGGCCAGTACAGTAGCTTAGTAACTAAAGTCCTCAGCTTGTGTGTGCCGCTGGATCCCATATGGGCGCCAGTTCATGTCCCAACTGTTCCACTTCCCTTCCAGCTCCCTGTTGGTGGCCTGGGGAAGCAGTGAGGATGACCCAAAGCCTTGGAACCCTGCACCCACTTGGGAGACCTGGAAGAAGCTCCTGGCTCCTGGCTTCGGATTGGCTCAGCTCCAGCCATTGCAGCCACGTGGGCAGTAAACCAGCAGACAAAAGCTCTCTGTCTCCTCTGTAAATCTGACTTTCCAATAAAAATAAATAAATCTTTTAAAAAACTAAATCAAACTTTAAAAAACAAAAAAAGAACACTGTTCTATAGCTCAGGGTTGAGAGTTCTTTGGGGCATGAGCCCACCATCCACCACAACTGTATTGGCTCCCTTGCATGCAACAAAAGGCATAGAGAGAAGTGTCTGTCCTGCTGCCCAGATGGCCACAGGGGCTCACAGGACACAATCCTGACACCAAGGAGACACAAACCTGGGCATCCTTTGCCTAAGGGGAAAGGCCTATAACCTAGACCTTCCTTAAGATATACAAAGAATCAAGCCATTTCCTACCCCTCTCCAGGCTCCAGGAAGATGAGGGTAGGCTGTGTGTTGGTCAACCATATGCTGCTGTCAGAGTCCAGCCCTCAGGAAGGAAGGAATAGGCCAGAGTAGATGCTTACACAGTGACGCCAGCATGCCACATGGGTTTTCAAACATGCTTATTCGTATTCATTCACCTGCTCATTCATCAAGCAACATTTCCAGGTGGCCTTCTATGTGCCAGCATTGACTGTCCTTACTGCTTAAATCTGGGAGAAAACACTGGCATAAGTGTTGGAGGTGGCCACAAGTGGGCAGCCTCTCTAGCTGCAAAGCAGCATTGCAGACCTGGAAACCCAGCCAGATCTGTGTTTCCACACTGTGAACCCCAAAACACTCAAGAGGACTCCTAAAAGTCCATGTACATGCTCCTACATGGAGCATCTCTGTGATGGACTTAGGACTCGAGAAAATATCGGGTAATCCTCCTTAAACATAGGAGCACCACAAATGGTATTTTTCAGAGCATTTGAGAAGTGATGGCTAGATGTCACAGGAACCTGGTGGCTGTCTCTGCTGTGATTTTCCCTCCCCAGAGCTGGAACATAAATGAGCTGATCTGGAGGAAGGAAATTTGACATTGAGAACAAACTTGAAATACCCCAGGTGCAATCACTTTACTCTCCCTGGGTCTGATCTACAGCCAAGACTGCACTACTAAAGCCCAGCTCACTGGAGTAGGATCAATTCATCATTAATGGGAAAATCCATAAGAGCTGACTTCTTTACGATTTACATATTCTTATTGGAAAGTCAACTATGCAGAGAAAAAGAGAGATAGAGAGTCCACTGATTGACTCCCCAAGTGACTACAGCAGCCAGAACTGATCTGATCTGAAGCCAGCAGCCTGGAGTTTCTTCCAGATCTCCCACGTGAGAGCAGGGTCCCAAGGCTTTGGGCCATCCCCGACTGCTTTCCCAGGCCACAGGCAGGGAGCTGCATGGGAAGCAGGGCTGCCAGGGAACGAACAGGCACCCATATACGATTCTTGTGTAAGCAAGGCAAGGACATTTTTGGAGCCACCATTGTGGCACAGGGGTGATGTTGCTGCCTGCGGTGCTAGCATTCTGTATCAGAGCACTGGTTCCAGTCCTGGCTATTCTGCTCCCAAAGCAGCTCTCTACTAATGCATCTGGGAAAGCAGAATAAGAAGCCCTGCCGCCCATATAGGAGACCCAGAGTTCCAGGCTCCTGGCTTCTGCCTGCAGCCATTTGGGGGGGTCAACTGGTGGATGGTCTCATGGCGGGGGTGGAGAATCTTTTCTCTGTCTCTCCCTCTTCCTCTGCCACTTTGCCTTTCAAATAGATCATCTTTAAGTACACTTACTTTTAGTGCAAAATATCTGAAAGGCATGCATGAGAGGTTTTCAAGTTTATAATAAATATTATGATAAAACTGTTAATTTCAAAAATTCTATGTGCCAAAGTAAACCTATCTTTAAATTCCATTTCTCTAAAAATGTTTGGAAGTTTGGGGGTTTGTCTTTTAACTTTTTTGAAGTACCCCAGGACATTCCTGCACCAAAGTTTAATTCATATGAGTTAGTCACAGAACGAGATTAGCAACACCTAATCATAAAACACAGCAATGATCACAAAATGCTGTCATGAAAGTTATGAAAATACGAATTCTAGACTAGTGTACCCCCTCCCTCTATGTCTCTCTAAATATCCAGTGATACACACATATTTTTAGACCCCAGCTGACAGTGGATTCCACTGAGACCAGAAAAGTAGAATCCATGGATTAGCAGGGATGACTGCACCTTTCAGAAAGTCTTTGAAGTAACAACACAAACAAGTTATGTTCCGTACTTCTGACCAGCAGTTGTGGAAGGGGTCATAGGTCTCCACATTGTTGATCCTCTGCAAGCCATCGAACCCTCCGATCACATACACCTTGCCGCCCAGCACCACCATCTTATGCCTCCAGCGACCAATGTTCAAATACTCAATCTGAATCCATTTGTTGATGGAAGAGTTATATTTCCAGACATCGTGCTGTGTTTCTTTGCCACCTGCAAGAGAAAACAAAGCAGACAGGTATCACCTGGTGTGTTGGCAGCACAGCTTCTCCCACAGCTTTCTTGGTGGCCAGAAGTGCCAGCCTCCAAGCCTGCTGTACCCTCAAGGGAGAGAAGAGAAACCCTGGAGGCGAGTGCTTTCCCAGGTGCATTAACAAGAAACTGAATCGGAAGAAGAGGAGTAAGGGCTCGAACCAGCACCTGTGTGTGATGCTGGCACCGCAGATCGCAGCCTACTGCTTTTCCAGGTCACTGGCCTCATCTTGTCCTATTTTTTTGTTTTAGAAGTCTTTTTTTTATTATTATTAATAAAATTTATTTTGACATTCTTTACATATTTAGTTAGAGTAAGAAGGTTCAAGGGCTACAGGAAAGTGGATAATACTAGTATGTTTTCCATATTGTTACCTTCATGTTTAAAAGGGGGGTATTAAGGGAGAAGGCCCACCCAATTTCCCACCCTCCCCAAGTCCCGGGTGTAGGGCATGCTCTGAGGTTCTTGCTCAAGTGGTTTTGATATTGCAACAGTTATGAATCGCTGTCAATCTTGCCACTCCAAGCACTATGAGGTCTTTGAAAAATCCACTGATAGACATAGTCCATCATAGCTGAGATGGTTGGTTGACCCGTTCTGTCTTCTCTCTTTTCTTCGTTAGGGTTCTGAGTCCAGCATTTAGATTAGGAAGATCTCCAAAGAAACTTCTTGTATGTGCTAACAAGTACAGGGCCTGGCACCGTCCATCGCTCCAATCAGCTGGTGGTTGCAATTGCTGGGTTGGTTCTGTTTTCACTCCCGACTTCCACTGGAACCAATGGGTGTTGCAGTCCAGCCTGGTTCTGCCCAGCACATACTTGGCCCTCACATAAACCAGTGGTAGCTGCAGCCTAGTTGGAGCGACCCACAATAACCCCCACCAGGACCGCCCCTACCCTGGTTTGCCAGTAAGTGTAGCAGTAATCCAGTCTGTCCCACACCCCATTCCACCCCAGCCGCTATCTTAGTTTTATGTCCTCCCGTGGAAGTGGTAACCCAAGAGGGGTGAGCCCACTATTACCCTCCCAGGCCTCTCCCACTCCCAGATTCCAATTGATGCTGCCCAAACAACCCTCGTCCACTTTAATTCTGTTTGCACCAGTAGGAATAATCCGCCGAGCCCGGCTTTTCCCTAATCTAGTCCACATGAGGCACACAGGTGTGGTAGCTCTGCCTAGTCTGGTCTGCCCCCATCCCAGCCCATGCTCTCCTGCGGAAGTAGCTGTCCAGCAAAGGAACCCTCCCTTTTTCACCTGCTGGCTCTGCCTACTTCCTTTCTTGTTCTCAGGCTGGTTGGACGCTGAGTCCCCTCCGGTACAGGCAACCTCACCTCGGCATTCCATAATGTGCACTGGTCTTTGTTGCGACAGAACCTGGGTCGACCCACACTGATACTTGGATTTGCCAGTGGATGACGTGGACAGATTCAGCCTGGTCTTGCCCCCACGTCTGCCAAGTGTATGCCAGTGGGTAGCTTTCCATGGCCTTTTCTGGGCTGTTTCCTATCATGTTTCTTGCGTTTACCTGCCGGGTCTGTGTCCTGCCAGAGGAGTTGCCCAGGCTCCTCCATCAGAACCTCTCCCAATGCCAGGTTACACGCTTACCAGTGGGTCCATGAGCCAACCCTACTCAGTCCACCTCCTGTCATAGCAGAACTGTGGCTTTTCCTGACTGGCCTTCCACCCAATCTGGTTCTTGCTGTTGGATGTTCCAGCCCAGCCATGGTTTGTCCATACCTACGTATGGCTCACACATGGCTCAGTAGGGGTTTGAGACCTTGCCTAGTCTATCACACATCTGCCCTGGTCCTCCAGAACACCAGGGGGAGTCGGGGTCCAGCCCGGTTTGGTGCATCCAATCCCAGTCCACACTTGTGCCTAGGGAGACTACAACTGTATCCAGATCAGAACGCAGCCCCCCTTCCAGGCCACGCGCCTCTTTGTGGGAACCTCAGCCCAGCTAGGGTTGTCCCCTTTGCTCCCCAACCGGGTCTGTTCCCAGCCATAGCTCACTCGCATGCCAGTGGTTGCTCTGACTCAGCTTGGCACAGCTCAACACCTGTCCCGACCTCTGCCTTAGACACTGTGGCTTCGTGTCCCTGGCTCCCGCAGACCAGTAGGTACAAGAGCCTAGCTCGGCATGACCTTTGCTCCCTCCTGGTTTCTAGTTTTACTTGTGGGCTAAGGTTTGCTCATTCGTACCAGATCTACTCTGTTCCCTACCAGTTGACACATTAGCCAGCTGTTGGAGCTACTTTTGCAGGACAAGCCCCAAGCCCAGGCTTCTGCATGGACTGGTATTTGGTGCCCAGCATTATTAGTGATTACAAATTTTACAAAGGAAGAGTTACTGCCTGTGTCAGGTCCGAGAAGCACAATGGGTTCAACCTGGAGCTAATTAAGCAGCGACTCAAAGAACCAAATCCCCAGAGCTCCCCAGCCGGAAGGCCAGCAGGCGGAGCCTGGCACCAATGGCGCACTGGCCGCCCGGACACGGCTCACCATGTGCCCATGGCGGCCGTCCGGGATCCAGGCATGAGACGCCCCGTCCTAAGACCCACCAGCTGCCGGGAGGCTGCTGGAGGTTTAAATTCCCAGGCCCAAGGTCGTGCCCCTCCCAAATCCCCTTCACTGCCCAATGAGGGCGGCGGGTGGGTGCCGGACCTGCCCAGTCCCAGAGGCCTCCCCCCTCGGGTCTACTCACCCCAAAGGAAGCAGCCTCTGGAACCCAGCAGGCCGGACACGGCTCACCATGTGCCCATGGCGGCCGTCCGGGATCCAGGCATGAGACGCCCCGTCCTGAGACCCACCAGCTGCCGGGAGACTGCTGGAGGTTTAAATTCCCAGGCCCAAGGTCGTGCCCCTCCCAAATCCCCTTCACTGCCCAATGAGGGCGGCGGGTGGGTGCCGGACCTGCCCAGTCCCAGAGGCCTCCCCCCTCGGGTCTATTCACCCCAAAGGAAGCAGCCTCTGGAACCCAGCAGGCCGGACACGGCTCACCATGTGCCCATGGCGGCCGTCCGGGATCCAGGCATGAGACGCCCCATCCTGAGACCCATCTTGTCCTATTTTTAAGTTGGTTTTTACTATACAAGTGTGAAATGCCCATATTGGTCATTGGAGAATAAAGTGATAATTTTTTTTTAAAGAAAACTCAATAAACTTAAATAGCAACTGGGTAGAAAGACCATGACCAAGGAGCACTGACATTCTGGATGAATCAAGTGTTTTCACAGCGTCATGGTGCTGGCTCCCTGTTGGCCTGCAGCACCACCAGCTACTTAAAGCCAGAGTTTGAATTTTCAGATGGACAGCGATGGACACCACCAGCCAGGTCCTGCATTGTGGATGGAATGGCAGCCAGGAGTGGGCCTCTAAGTCAGAGCATCCGCCAGAGTAGGGCTTGTCATACTCTTCCCACAGTGGGTGGTGAGGAGGATGCTTTGATTGGCTGGCAGGTGGGCTGGTTGGTTGGTTGGCAGGTAGGTTTTAAATAGTCTGATGGAGAAAAATGATGTCACAGCTTACTTTTCCCTTGCTCTAGGAAAGGCCAAGCTTGCTCTCCTGTGAATTTCTTCAGAGTTTGGCTGTTTTTCTCTGGATTCTGTACCTTTCAGAGGTCCCTTTCATTTAAAACACTGTGCTATTGATCTCTATTTAGATGAGGATAAAAATCATAAAATCATTGTAAAAAAAACTTTCAATAAAATACATGCAACTTTTATTTCTAGAAGGAAAAAATTATGACTTCATCTCAAAGAAAGTAAGACCTGGTTGGCTGGAACAGTATATTTGCAAACATGTCAGCGAACACTGGGTGATCCATATGCTCAGAGCTTTTGGCCCTTCTTCAGAAATGCAACAAGATAATTCTAAACTTCTCCGAGAAAAGTAAATTTGGAAAATTTTCTAAGAAAGTTTTGACAAGGAGCATTGTGGACTAAGCTGCCTCCTACGGCTCTGGCATCCCTATGGGAGTTAGCTTATGTACTGGCTATTCCACTTATAATCCCTGCTAATGTGTCTGAGAAAGGAGCAAAGGATGACCCAAGTGCTGAGTTCCTGCACCCACACAGGAGACTGGGATGAAACTCCCAGCTTCTGGTTTTGGTCTGGTCCAGCTCTGGAAGTTACAGTCATTTGGGGAATCAGGAGGTAGAAGCGCTGTCTCATTCTCTTTTCCTCTCCATCTCTCTCCCTCTCTCTGCATCTTTACCTTTCAAATCAAATAAATAAATCTTTTAAAAAAAAGACTGAAGAAGGAGTATTCTTTACCAATATTAAATATGCTAATAGGTCATTATCATAAAAGTCATAATAATAAAATTAGTGGAGTGTTCTATAAGATCAGGCAAATTGATCAATTAAAATAAAAGCATAGAAACAATAAAATATATAGATATTGTCAAATAAATGTTGCTAGAGCATTTGGCTGCTCATTTGTTACTAGAACAATTGACTATTCATGTGGTAAAAAAAAAAAACAAATAGTATACTTCCTTAAACGCTATAAAAGTGCTAGGTAATATAAAATATACTGTATCAATGATCTTAGGATGGGGAGAGATTTTTTTAACCATGATATGAAACTCAGAGTCATACAGAAAATAAAATGATTGCATAAATATAAACTCAAGTTAAAAGAAAACCACACTTAGAGAGAAAGTATTAGCACCACAAACAGCAAATGACATATGATAAGAGCTCAAAAAACTAATTAAAAAAAAAACAAGAGAAAAATAGTAAAGGCTGTGAGTATATTAACTTCTAAAACACAGGCCTGGGACCTCACACATGAGCACGTGCACTGGGCAGGTGGGCAGGGCCCCAGCCAGCATGCCACTACCCTGGAAGACCAGGCTTGGGAACCCACAGGGCATGTGGCTGTGGATTGCTCAGGAAAAGAGATGTGGGGATGCATGGGAGGGGGGCTGCTGAGAGAGTTTTTTACAGGTTAGGAATGACTTCTGGGGGACTCCCACAACTGGGCCGCAAGAGTCAGGTCTGTTTCGGTCTCTGCCTTTCAAACAAACCAACTATATAAATAAATATATTTAACAACAACTACACTTTAAAATGTACATACAAACATATGCGCAACTCCCTAATGATACTGAATTATAGTTGAAGCCTTTTGGCTCAAGATTGATTTTTTTAAATGAGGCTGAAGAATAATGAATGGTCCACCCATTCAACAGATTGCCTTAGAGCTGATAATAATAACAATAAAGCTGGTAATAATAACAATAAAGCTAAAGACAGCTAACACCACACTCTCACTGTATACTTGGTGCCACACCAGGCTTTACAGGTAGTGGTTACTTCACACAGATATCCACCCCACAAGCATGTGACAACGTCAGGAATACATAGTAAATGGAAGCACACATTTCCACTGATCCAATTGTGTAGAACAAGTATGCTTCCATAGACCACTTGTATCAATAAAAGCACATGGTGATTTAAAGGCAGGAAAGCATACAGTATAAAATGACAAATGTGGTTTAGTGGCAAACGCTGGCTATATCCCCCTGCTGGACACTCTGCTAGGCTGTGCCTCCCACCGCCTGCCCCTCAGGCTGGGGTTGAGGGAGGGTGGGGGTTGTGAACAGATGCCACACAGCACTTGCAGGCTGAGGGTTTTGTGAGCAGTCATGCCTCTCCACCCACTCAGTTTCTCTGTCCTCTCTAAATGAAGGCCATGTGTACAAAATATGGCAGCATCCCGAGACAGGAGCCAGGGTCCCTGAACATCTAGGGAGAGCAGATCCGCCTACCACCCCCAGCCACCACTGTGTTAACTCACTGTACCAGGTTTGTGGAAGTAACAAACGGGCCTTGACCTCAGGCCAGTACAAAACTCTTGTCAGCAATGACACTAGCACAGGGGACTGCCCCATGTTTTTTTTCCAGACTCTGTACTGTTTGAACTCAACCAGAGTTCTGCAGACCCAAGAAAGCAGTAAGCTCATCTATACTGTGAATATGTGCAGAGAATAGTTAACTTGCCATTGGCCTTGGAGGACACCAGTGGTGGGAAGCAGCTCGTTCTGCAAACAAATTCAGACCAAAGACAAGCCCTGAGAGAGGAAGACATGCTTGGGGGCTCCCGTGGGGTCCCAGGCAGAGCTGGGTGGCTTCCAACACATGCTTCAGAAGCTAGCTTGGGAACCTCCCCAACACCTCCCGGGTGTGATCTGAGCAACTCTCTAGAACCTCACTGGGCCTCAGCAACACCTACCTTACATGGCTGCTGTGACAGACTGACAGCTGCGTGTTATTAGAGTTTAACTTCAACTACTACACAAGGAAAAATGGTTGAGAAGCTGAGATCCTGTCACCCCAGCAATATTTATGGAGCATTTACCCTAAGGTCAGGTCCATGCCACATATTGAATCCAGGGCTGACACACTGGGAAAGACAGGTGTTTGCTAATTGTGAATAATGAAGCAAACACAGCAGCAATGAAAAAGCACTAAGTGTTCCAGAAGTGTCCCCAAGTGTGGCTCTAACAAGCTTGATGAAAGAGCAGATGCTTCTAGTCACTGCTCCATCTTCCAGGCATCCAGCCCCATGCCCTGTGCCTGTGGCAGACACTGAATCCCCTCTAGGATCATTTCCCTTGTTCTTTATCCATAAAGGACCGGGCCTGTCTGTCCGGTCCAGGAGCTCAAGTACTATGCCAACTCATGGTATGGAGACCACCTAGGCTCCTGGCCCCCTGGTCCAGCACTGTCAGAGCTAGTGTGTTGTCATGCAAAAGCTTCTGAACTGTTGCCCAGCTTGCACTCCATGGACTACCAGGGCTCCCTTGGGCTTCCAGTGGCTCCTGCTTACCTGAGATGTAGACTTCATTCTTTAAAGTCACACATGCAAACTCCACCCACTTCTTATTGTCGCTCTCCAGCTCATGCTCAGTCAGCGGCAATTTGGCCACCTCTAGGCGGCTGCGTCTCAGCGGGTCCAGGCAAGTCACCTCTGCCACAAATCGCTCGTCCTTGGTGCAGCCCCCAATGATCATGAACACCTCAGACTGGAACTCGTGCATCCTGGGCTTGGTGCGCTCCGAAATGATCTGGAAACGAGCAGGACATGAAGGCCCCGTAGCCTGATTGAGGGAGTGAGAGCTCAGGGTACAGAGCCATGCAGAGCAGGCTCCAACTTACAGATCAGCCACTGTGTGACCAGGCCTCTGTAGAGCAGAGATGTTAATGGTAATGACCGCACATGTTTGCTGTTAGAATTAAAAGGGATAAAATGGGTAGCGTGTTTGGCCTGAGACCTAGTGTGTAATGGGTACTCAATAAATAGCACTTGCTGTTCTGTGGCTATTTTAAGAAGCCGAGCTCTATTTACCCTTAAATGCACTTCCTGCCTCTCCCCTCCTGTCTGGTCTGGACCTTCAAACCCTGGAATTTCACTTCAGGCTGCTTCCTGTTCCTTTCTGGTTGCAACTTCCTGAAGATGGCCTCAGCTGTTGCTCACTGTCAGCCTTCCTTTGCAAACAGGCCCTAGACTTTGAGAATTTTCAGAGACATAAAGACACAGAAAGGAAGAAATCTACACCCTGGGCATTGGAGCCCAGCTGGAGAGACAGAAGTTTGGAAGTCAAATATCCAGATTCCATCACACATGGACACAATCTTAAAGAAACAACGCAATCTCTGGAAAATGCTTGCCATCGTTTCTAAACCATCAGGGTATCTTGGGCACTCAAGAAGGCATGAGGGAGGGGGAGGAGCAAAGCTCCTGGCACAACACAGCCCTTCATGGATAGGTATTCCTGGGAGTAACAGCAGACATCAAATGCTATTACTTGGGAAAAGGGAAAGCTGCCTTCCTCCTAATGCCACCTGTCCCCTGGGCTCCATGGGAAGCTTCCACAGGTAGACTGATGGGCGACAGAGGCAGCATTCATTTGCCAGGTGGCCAAAGCAGTCATACAAGGTTAGGCTGATCTAGCACTGTCTATGGGACTTTGAGTATGCCCACAACTGTTGACCAACAGGTGACAGCAGCAAAGACTGGGACTTCAAGTGATGACTCTAATAGCCACAAGTACTCTGAGCAGATGACACCCAAGCTCAACTGCTCCATAGTCTTTCTTGGTGTCTTCATCACCAAAGAGCCAGCTGCTGTAACTTTTATAGCCCATGTTCTTGAAGGTCCTAAAGTCTGTGGCTAGGTTGTCCCCTGCAAAGGCATCAGAAAAGACTGGGCTCATGTGGGCAGGACAAACCCGAGGCAGTGGGCTGAGACTGAGGGCACTGACAGTAGAAAGGCCAGTCAGGGCAGGGGGAAGCAAAGGTCCCAGGGGCTTGGAGGTGTGCTGAGAGCAGCCAGTTGGAGGAGTAGAGCTGTAATGAGTTGGTGCCACAAAGTCTGCCCAACTGCAGATTTCCTCCAAGCAGTCCATCTGTTTGTTTTATACAACTGAGTGTAGGAGTAATTTTTGCACAGTAACTCGTATCTAATTTCAGAGCCTAAGAAATAATACATGTTGCACAGTAATTCATGTCAAATACAATCACCTAGTTGATGGGACTAAAGGATTGCGACCTGACTCGTAACTCAGAAGCACAGCACCTCCGAGAGGTGGCACTACCACCAAATTCTAAGATCAGCTTAGGTCCAAATACATGGCAAAATATTAACTCCAAAGACATGACTCTGAAGTCAGATATGTGTGAGTGAGCTTGCTGCCTTCACAGGGAAGTGTTTGTCAATGCATGCCAAGTGTTTGCACGCAACAATCAGGCCTAACCAGTTCATTCTCTGATTGTGAAAAATGGGGAATAGTTGTTTACTGACCATTCATTTTCCACAGGCCTACCCTAAAGGACCACACAGAAATGATCATGTGGCTTTAACAAAGGTGTCCTCAGCAGCAAAGTCTCTGCAGCACTCTCCCCTCCACCAAGTGCAACAGAGCAGCCTTTAGTGCAAACCAAAGTAGTCCCTGGAAACCTAGGGGAGAAGACAATGGAGGAGTAACTTTCCTCTGTCCCAAAAGAGTTCTTCCAGAAAAGGTTCCCTTCACTTTGGTGCCAGCCACTCCTCAACAAATGCAGGCTGATGTTGGCTTTTAGATTCTAAAGTTTCCAGACTTTACTGTCAGCTTGGCAGATGGGCAAGATTAAAAGGCGGAGATGATGATAGACCAAAAAGGGCTAACATTTGGGAAATCAAGCTCAAGGGGAGAAGTGTGTTCACAGTGTAGCCTCAGGGCTCACATTGCTGTTAACTTGAGTTTCAGGGAAGTAGCTAACTGTGAGACTCAAACAGGGAGTTGACAGCAATTGGTTGCTTGATTCAGTTGACAAAATCTAAAAATGAAAATGACAAAATGTCTTCAGTAAGATTTGGAACAAGAAGGCAACAAAACATGACACATGATAGAGAGATTTTTTTTTTTTTGGCCCCCAGAGAAAAAGAATCCCCTCATTTGGGGAGATCAGGCAGCCACAAAGAGCTGAGTGAGAATGGCAATAGCCTCGAGCTGTGGGTCACTGACCAGGTTCCAGACACTAGGCAGAGACACCAGACATTTCATTCATCACCTGTTCAGGTCTCAAAGCCATCCTCTCAGCTGGCTGCTTTTGTTACCTCCATGACAGAGACCAAGACTTAGCCAAAAGCAGCCAAGGAATGTTCCCAAGGGTGTACTGTCAACAACTTATGCTATGAAGATGAAAACCTAAACCCAGCTGACTCCAAGCCTGAATTTCCACAAACAGACCATTTCTCAAATATTGGAATTCTGTTGCCTAGGTCTCCCACCTTATCTGCAGAACCTCACTAATACAAAAAAAAAAAAAAAAAAAAAGTGAAAGCATTTCATCATAGCTCTTTTTCAGAAGATAGAATAGGGACCTTTTATATCAAAGGAAAGCCTTTATCACCTGATTTTAGTTACTTGGGAAATAGGAAGAAGGAACAAGGAACAGCTAGTATTTTGGAAGTAGAGTTGATATAAACTCTAGTTTAAACATTGGACTGACAGCTGTCATGGAGACCGACACCTGTTTACAATTGTATGCTGTCTCCATTGGGACAGGACCCAGTAGGTGTCGGGGCTCCCTGCATCAGCCCACACATTGCCCTTTATATACTTAATTGGTCCGACTTCTATAGCAGACTCAATGTTTAATAAGGCACAGACAGTATTTGTCATGCCTGGTGTATAACTGGCACAGAGTTAGAGCGTGTACACAATTTATTTGTGACAAATGAAAGCATAGCATACGAAAATATGTGGGTTGCTGTTACAGTAATTTGTAGAGAGACATTTATAGAATTAACGTCAATATCTGAAAGAGAAAACAGTCTCAAATCAAGGACCTTAGCTTTCACCTTAAGAAACCAGAGATCAGACCAAATTAAACATAGAGTAAGCAAGAAAAAAACATAATCAAAACTAGAGCAGAAGTGAATGGAATAGATAACAGAAAAGCAATAGAGATAGCTCCAGTTATCTGAGAAAAATCAGTTAAATTAATAAATCTTTAACAAAATTGATCAGGAGACAAAAACAACACACAAGTTACTCATATCGGATTTCACATCATTACAGATTCTATAGAAATTAGAACGGTAGTAAAAGAGTAGTGTGAACAGCTGTATTCACCAACCTATAGGAAACAGAAAATTCTTTGAATGATGTAAGTTCCAAAAACTTAACTCTAGAAGAAAGACAACCTGAGTAGTACTCTATCTATTAAAGAAATATAAGTTTCAGTTAAAATACTTCTAATAAATAAAATGCTAGACCCTAATAATTTAACCAAGCATTGAAAAGTGAATGAAAGAGTGATGGGTCTAAGGAACAGAGAACCAGAAAAGAACCCAGAGAAAAAAAAATAAAGCTCCCGAGGAGCTATAACAGCCAATTCCTGACCACTGACCCAATGGATGAGTCTTGCTAGATATTCTAGAACCACTGAATTGAGACATACTCATACACATATGGATGCTTATGTGCACAGATGATAGTGAGCCCAGCATAGGATTGGTCAAATCTGAATTTGACTTACTTTTGGATTAGCTGATCATTTGATTGATTGATTAATGGGAGAAGTAGAGAGATAGGTAGATAGATCTCTCATTCTTTGCTTTATTGCCCAAATGATGGCAACAGCTGGGGTTGAACAAGGCCAAAGCCAGAAGACACGAATATAATCCAGGTCTCCCACATAGAAAGCAGGAATGAATCCAGCTACTTGAGTCATCATTGCCAAGGTACACATTAGCAGTAGCTGGAGATAAGAGGCAGAGATATGGAAGGCAGGTGTCTTAACCACTTAGCCAGCATCTACCCCAGACTTGAGGTTTAGCTTATCCATCTAGTGAATGAATGGGAGGGAGGCCAGCCTATGGATAGGGACATGAGACCAGAGGAACCTCCAGAAATTCAAGAAGGAGACAATGGGAGTCTGTCCAAGGTAATGTCAAAGTGGATCCAAGACACACAAGGCTTCACCAAAGAGAGAAAACTAGGAAAGCAGCAGCTCTGTGACACTGTGACAGGTTAGACATACTCCCGTCCACATGTGCATCAGGTCCCACAAAATCCTGCCCTTCACAGTGAGAAAGAGGAAGTTTGGGCCAGGTCTGGTGCTTCCATGATGGAGTATCATCTCTAATTTAGGAATCAGGAATCCAGAGGCCAACATCATGGCATGATACCAGCACCCCATATGGATGCCAATCCAAGACCTGGTTGCTCCATTTCTAAACCAGCTCCTTGCTAATGGCCTGGGAAAGCAGTTCAAGACCATGGTCACCTGCACCCATGTGGGAGACCCTGAGAAAGCTCCTGACTTCAGATTGGCTCAACTCTGGCCATTGCAGCCTATTGGGGAATGAATTAGTAGATGGAAGATCTCTCCCCCTTTCTCCCTCTCTCTGTAAATTTGCCATTCGAATAAAAACATATCTTCAGAAAAATAATAAAAATCAAATTTAAAAATAAAGGATAAATCCAGACCGTTTGACATTACCTTACTGTTGGAATCTACAGGTTAGCACCCTAAGAGTATGTCAAGTATGTCACCCAACTTCCCCTGTACTTCTGGGCATCACTGGTTTCACTGGTGAAATACAGCAGCCCCATCTTCCACTCACCTCATTGCCAGAAAGGTGGTACATCCTGGCTTCCTGGAGCAGCGGGAAGACCTCCGGGCACTGCCTAATGAGAGGGTCTGCTTCCACGGTATCCACAAAATACCAGGGATCCAGGAGTGGCAAGCGCACATTCTCGAGGACATAGGGGAGCAAGCTGAGTCGCTCGGACTGCTTGTGCCGGACCCAGCTCATTACAGTTTCAAACACCTGTGCCTCCTCTGTCACATAAAGGTCATCACTCTTCAGGATGTGGTGCAGAGTGTCCACAGGAAGCTCGAGAAACTCTTCGGAGCTGAGGATCTGCACGAAGTTTTGAATGATGTAACTCTGAACTTGCTTCTTCAGGCTGTCCAGGGAGTGTGTGTCTGCCAGCCTCAGTATGCCAACACAGTTTTCTGGGTTCAGGGCCTCTGTGAGAAAGCTAGCACAGGCATCCACCATCCGCAGGAACTAACAGAGCAATAGGAAAAAGGATTAGTCCACCAGGATGGTTATTGGTGAGTTGTGCAAAAGCAACAAATCAGAAACAATCTAAAGGTCCAACAGTAGGAGAGCAGCCAAATCTACATTATATGTGCATGCAGCCCATAGCTCTATAGTCATGTAAGACCAGTTACAATGAGATTAAATGACACAGAAAATGCTTATAATGTATTCAGTTTAAAAAATCTGCTCACTGTATCTCAGCACTGTATCTTTAGACTTCATCATCAACTAGCAGGAAATACAAGAGTACTTCAAAAAGTTTGTGAAATATGAAATTTAAATAGAGTGGAAGGAGCAGCATTATGGCACAGTGGATTAAGCTGCCACCTGCAATGCTGGCATCCCATATGAGCACCGGTTTGCATCCCAGCTTCTCCATTTCCAATGGAGTACATTAGTAAATTAGGGTTTCCAAAGGAGAAAATTATTAGGTGGCCCTTGCCACCTTAATGACCTGGAAAAAGCAACAGAAGATGGTTCAAGTATTTAGGTCCACATGGGAGACCTAAATGAAGCTCCTGGCTCTTAGCTTCAGACTGACGCAGCCCTGGGCATTACAGCCATCTGGGCAGTGAACTAGCAGATACAAGATCTCTGCGTGTGTTTGCCTCCCTCTCTCTACCTCTGCCTTTCAAATAAGTAAATAGATCTTTTATGTGCATATAGGCAGATACATGTTAGATAGCCAGGATCTAAGCCAGGCAGACATATAAAATGTGGTCCGGCATTGTGACTTAGTGGGTTAAGCTACCGCTTGAGATGGCTGCATCCAATGTCAGAGCACATGGTTTCAGTGCTGGCTCCTCTGCTTTCTGCTAATGTGCACCCTGACAGGCAGCAGGTAATAGTCCAAGTCATTGGGAGCCTAGTAGAGCTAAATGAAGTTCCTGGCTCCTGGCCTCAGCTTGGCCCAGCCCTGGCTATTGCAAGCATTTAAGGAGTGAATCAGCACATGGAACACTGTCTATCTTTAAGTCTCTTCTATCTATCTATCATCTATCTCTCTCTCTCTATCTATTCTGTCTTCATACACACACAGCCTTTCAAGTAAATAAAAATAAAGAAGCTTTGCTATAAACTGTAATGTGTCTTTCAAATGAACTTGTTGAAATAATCCCAGAGGGAAAAAAAGAGGGACAGATTCAGTGACGTCTTGAGAAATGCAATCAGCAAAATCCAAGCCCTGTGGAACTCTACAGAACAACTGACTCTGTTTCTCCCACAAATGTGAGTTACTTCAGAAAGCTTGTAGGAAATGAAATTCAATTTTTCATCTGTTGTAAAATATTTTTATACCCATGCACAGCTGTTTTACATCTTATGCATCTCTAAAAACTCACTGAAGTACCTTCATGTTCAAAGGGAACAAAGAGAAGCAGAGGAGAGGAAAAGCCAAGCATAAGATGAGCTTTACAAGCCAGGTGAAATCCGTTCTAACTATGAACCTCACGTGGACCCCAGGTTCAACCAAACCAAATGTACTCAGCAATTTAAAGCAATCTGAGTATTGTTCATTGTTTGTATTTAAGAAATATCCTGTCTTTCAGGGAGACACACCAAAGACAAATAAGTCAGAGAAGCATGTCACAAAGTCCCATGTGCTTTAGCAGCCTGTTTTCACAAAGAAAATTATGTAGAGAACAGTCATAAACAGAAAATTAAAGGATACAATCCCCACCATTAACTGGGTGTTGGATAGCCCAGGACACACTATGCAGTGTCAGTCCTCAAAGGCTTTCAACAATGACTTCTTGTCTCTCACTCACATGGTTCATTCCAGTGCCTGGACAATCTGATCACATGAGAGAAAGAAAGGATGACAGAACCACACACAGGCACACAAAGCTCCCCAGGGCCACATGCTTGGGCCCTTGCCACCCACATGAGAGACCTGTATGAAGCTCCCTGGCTCATGGCTTCAGCCTGGCCAACTCTTGACCATTGTGGCAATTTGAGAGTACACCAAAAGATGGAAGATTTCTCCCTCTCTCTCCTCCTCTGTAACTCTTTCAAATAATCTTTTTTTAAAACAATAACTACAACAACAACAACAACAACAACAAAAGAACCTAAGACTCCTATGCCTCTGTGACTCCTTATAGATGACAAGGTGCTGACAAATTCATTAAATTATTGCATATTCATTTTACAGATGAGTTGTCTCAAATGCACCAGTTCATTTGCTGTTGTTCTCTAGAGCTTAGTGTTTTGTTTGTTTGTTTGTTTGCTTTGGCTTTGGTGTTGGTTTTGGTTTAATTCTCCAGAGGCAGAAAGAATTGAACAGAGAGCTGCCAACCACTAATTCATACCCTCCCTCTGCCTTCCTCCCCCGAATATTAGCAAGATCCAGGACTAAGTCAGCCTGAAGCTGGGAGCCAGGAACTCCATCCTGTCATCCATGTGGAGGGTAGGAATCCAACCACTTGGCCATCATCTGCTGCCTCTTATGGTGTGTGTTAGCAGGAAGTTGCAGTCAATAGCTGAGTTGGACTGGATTCCAAGCATCCAAATGTAAATGCAGCTATCTTAGCCAGTGTCTTAACCACTGGACCCAACCCCTGACCCTGGAATGACTCTAGCTTTGAATGAGTTCACCTCTTTTGTTCCTTCCTTGTCCACTGGGCTCCTAATGGAGTCAAGTCTTCAGTACACATACATTGATCAATGGTTCACTGGATTCAGGAAGGCAGGGACAAAGAAAGAGGCTGTGGGGGGTGGATCCCGTAGGGGAATGTCAGCCTTAACTCTTGTCCTGGTGAGACCATGGTGGGGAGAAAGCTAATCACAGAGCAAGTTGATATGAAGGGGAGACACTCCGTGGTAGGAACTGGGGGATGCTAGGCTGTGGGCCTGAGAGTGAAGCAGGATTGATTTTGGAGTGGACAAAGTCGGCTTGGTCCCTGGCCTTCACTTCAAAGCATTCTTGGGGCACACATGCCTGACTCTCTGGGTCAATCTCAATTGCAAAATATTCTTTCCATGTCAGACCACATTTTCCGATCATCAGTTTAGAACACATTGTCCCTGGTAAAGAAGTGGGGGATGGGGGTCAGTGCAAAGTTAAAAGAACTGGGTTGTGTCTGTGACCACCTTGTCCGTAGCCCCAACTGCTTGCAGCTTGGCTCCTCGCTTGAGTAACCATGGAAACAGTTGAGGCTGAGAAGACGAACACCTGTTTAGTTGTTTGCAGATCTTCAGCTCAAAGATTAAAAATACATACCCAAGACCAAGACTTATTGAACTCTCAGAATCTGTCACTGCAGCCCTGTTTGGCCCTGCCCATGGAAACATCGACAAGAGCTGAAAGGAAACTCACTTAAGTGGTAGACTGAGGCACATTTGTGTAGGAGATAATGTGAAAGTTAAATGGCTATCCCTAAATCCTTAGACTATTTCTGGGAGAGCCCTTAAGATCTTGAACAGCAAATAACCTTGGAAAGGGGAGCTGGTGGCCAGGGTAGGGAAAGCGGGGAGAAGGACCTTTTGCTGTCAGTCCTTTTGTGTCCTCTCCAGTTGTGTATTGCAATTATCTATTTTAAATTAATACATTCTCATGTGCAGAGAAAACATAAGAACAAATAAAATGCTGAGAGTTGGCATGATAGTGTTGTTAATTATTTTACACTTTTCCACATAGACCAAGTTTTCTATACTGAGCATGACTGTGTTTAAAATGGTGAAATACATACCTTGTAAACGCACAATGAGAAAACCAAATGAAACATAAATGATAAAATAGGGCCCAGTGCGATAGCATAGTTGCTAAACTCTTTGTCTTGAAAGCACTGGGATCCCATATAGGTGCTGGCTCTGATCCTGGCGGCTCCACTTTTCATCCAGCGCCCTGCTTGTGGCCTGGGAAGGCAGACAAGGATGGCCCAAAGCCTTGGAACCCTGCACCCATGTGGGAGCCCTGGAAGGAGCTTCTGACTTCGGATTGACTCAGCTCCAGCCGTAGCGGCCACTTGGGGAGTGAACCATCAGACAGATCTTCCTTTCTGTCTCTCCTCCTCTCTGTATATCTGACTTTCCAATAAAAATAAATCTTAAAAAAATGGTATTACTTTGTGCTGGATTCATTCTATTAACTCTAATAGTTAAGTGATGGTCCAGTGCTATGAAGTAGATAATTGTGATCGTTTCCTGGTCTTTTGCTTAAGACCAACTGTTGCAGATCTTTGTGAACATTTCTGTTTTGCAGATGAGGAAGTCAGATCTAGAGAAGTAATTTCCTCAGACTCGAAACTCAACAGGCAGTACAGCTAAGATATGTCTTACCTTCTCTAATCCCCAAATCTTTGACGTCTATATTATTTCAAGCTGCTGCAGGTCAAAAAGTGAGCTGAAAAGAGGTCAAAGTCATGACAGAGGCCAAGTACCATTTTCACATCTCACTGGATAGCCCAATTAGTCTGATCTATCTAAACACGGGAGTGATTGGCCCACAAACCGCCAATTCAATCCCTGCTGATGACAATTGAGCAAAGAACGAAACCACAAGAAGAGAATCCCATCAGGCTCCCAAGCTCACATTGGTCCAAATGCGTCTCTCTCTACTCTGACACTGTGAATTCATCTACTTGTCCATCCATTCATGCACTGAATACATACTGAGCATCTTTCTTGTGGAAGGCTGTCAACCAGTGTTGGGATACGGAGGTGAGTAGCAGGAAACACAATGCTTGGGGTGAGTCGGAGAGGCAGACACTAACCAAATAACCAAAGAGTGCAATCACAATTGTGGTTAATGCTATATAGCAAGGTCCGGTGATGCCACTGCCCCCATCCTCTCCATCCAGCCCTCCACACACTGGTTCCCACTCAGCACTTGGTGTCACTTTACCCCCAAAACCCCAGGAACAGTCAGTCCCTCCTCCAGACCCTCTGCAAAATTCCCTGAGCTTCCCTATTGTGGAGCCTTGCCATTTTCCTGCCAGCTTTTTGGCCTGCAAGTCCTTCGCCCT